AGTAAGCATGCTGTTTACACAAACTACATTATTAACATTATTATGATGTTCACTGATACTAGTACTAATTTATCGAAACAAAGAACACAATTACCGCATAGCAAAAATAGTGTACCATACAGCAAATAAATCAAATGAAAGTAACATCTGTAAAATAGTGAATGCACACTTACTCTAAGATTCTGAATGGAGTTGAAAACTGATCGAGCGTCCCCTTACTGTGAGAGATGCAGGTCAAGGCAAGAGTGGTGTATTCGGTCCTAAAATAATTAGTTCTGATGTCAACTTTTTACGCAAGTCACAACAGTTCGTGAAAAATCACAGCTACTTTATGCAGGCTGTGTGCATTTTACTGTGGACTGACTGTTTTGAAACTTATATGGTAGTTACATACCACCTAGACTAAAAAAGCCAGTAAATTTCAGTTTTGACAATATGGGACCTTTAATGTTTACTTTGTGGAAGTTGAAGATGGGAGTGGTGGCGGCTCTTATCAGCTGCTGGATTATGACACCATTCATACCGCAGCTGTGGAATGTTAATAATGCACTTCCGCAAGCAGTGAGCACATGGAGAGCTCATTAAAACTCTGCTACACTGTTTTCAGTGCAGCAGTTTTCTCCATATTTATAGATGTATATATGAAAAAACCCTCCCTGGCAGTACAATTGATTTTTTTACTCACACTCTTCTGTTTGCTCGCGGTTCACACAGTGCGTGTGACTCATCGCTCGTCTGTCCATATGGATTATTTATAAGATGACGCAGAAGCATCGTGCTGTCCCTGCAGAGAGACTTTAATCGAGAGCTTGATCATCCTCTCATGAATGCCGTTCTTTCTCACGATGGGCAACATGACCTCCGTTTTCCCCGACAAAATGTCACAACACTATTTATACACCCATACACTTATTTATCTAACACGCATACTTAGTCTACACTTGCACATAATATACCTGTACATACAAAACTGTCTATTGTAATATACCTGCACATACAATTATCAATTTATATATTGTTATTCCTTATTTACTTGTTCTATTTTTTATTTTTTTATTCTTTTATTATCTGTGTTTTTGTTCTGTTGCTGTCATTCTGCTGCACTGCGGAAGCTTCTGTCATGAAAACAAATTCCTCGTATGTGAAAACATACCTGGCAATAAAGCTCATTCTGATTCTGATTCTGATAGCATGAAATAAAACTTAATGAACTATTAATGAAACTGTCGTTCTGTCAACTGTCCCTTTAAATGCTCGAGTTTTTTTGAAGTCGGGTGGATTCTGGTTGCCTGTAAATATTTTTATCATTCCTTAGCTGAAAATTAACATTCTGAAAGTGATTCCAACTATGTTCCTCTGCTTCGGTATATTACAGCTGTGGTGTGGACTTCCCTGTTCTCAAATATTTAGAACTATTAACTCAACTTTATAGTTACATTTTTTTAGTGCGAACAGGCCTTAACCCATATAATGAACTCAGCACATTAGCTTTTTTGTTCAGATCTTCACTCATAACTTAGATAACTCATTACTTCAGATCACTTCCCGAATAGTTCAGTTCATTTACGAACTAAAAATTCTTTGTCCCAATTTATTTTTTTTCTTTGTCATTAGGTCGATTAGGATCAAAACTGAAGGGGGCGTATCTGTTCAGTAGTCTCAACCAATGAAATACTCCTTCACAGCCCACACCCGAATACTATGGGCTCGTGCTGTATAGTTTGTCTTTGATGACAGAACAGGAGTCACTCGCTTCAAAAAGAGGACACACTTCAGCGAAGGGAAAATATGACCCAGTGCATGGAAGTGAACGAGACCGATTCACTCACTTAAAAAGACTCTTTCAAAAAGACCACACTGTCATATATAGACGTTGAACTACTGTCCTTCAAAGTAATGGGGAGTGTCCATTTCCAGAAATAAACACTTTATACTTGACCTAAACATATCAAACTCATGTAATTTGATTCTAATATGAATTATAACGTACTACTACACATGCTCTCCACCCACTTGCTGTAAAAGTGTACACAGCGCCACGTTGTCAGCCATTCGGGGATATTTTGGCTCGTGTGCTGAACGCATGCTGTATAACAGTTACTTCTAATCAATAACACTGAATATCTCATGCGTCATGGCCAAATGACAAATAAATAATTTTCGTACTTATCTGCCGTCGCTTCCTGGACAGACTCATCTTTCTTCACTGGTTCTGCAGGGTCAATCGCTCCTTCGGTCTTTGTACATAAAAATCTTCTCCCAGCTAAAGGCTGAATGAAAGGTCTTCCATTACAGACAGTCTTTAATTTAGATATTCTGACAACCTGATAAGCAGCGCTGTAGAAGTACGCGTTTGGTAAAGTCTTCTTATGCCTTATAATGTCAGAAAACGAACGCTTTGGGCTGGTTTGAATCAACTCCTTCAGCACAACTGAAGCCCTAAACTGTAACATCGTCTAATGTCTTTATTTTTAATTATACTAGAAGACAACTTGTAGTTCTAGATGCTACGGCACAGTCAATTCCCACACTTTGCGCACCTACTGATAAGAGGAGCTTTTTAGCAGGGTTGCCAGGTTTTCACAACAAAACCCCGTTTCGGGGGATGGGAGGGGGTCCACCGGTACAAATCACGTTCCGGAGGGTAAAATATACGTTTTTTGGCGGTGTTCCTCTGGTAAATTCCGCGTTCCAGGGGCTAAATATCACGTTACTGGGGTCGCTTTAACCCGCGGCAACAGCGTTAAAGTAGCCAGATTCCGCGGGAAAACAGTGGACCTGGCAACACTGCTTTTAAGTGAAGAACACTCACGTACACGCCCACCGAACGAGCTATTGGACACGTCGCAAATATATGCGCATATTCTCTCACATTATTGGCTCAATAAAACATATTTCATTTTTGATTGCCATGCACCACATCCTGAAACGACTCGCTGTATGACCCGCAATCTATGTTTTTCTGACTTTATGATGTCTATTTCAGTATAAACAATTGTGTTAATGGCTGAATGCTTATTGTTGTTGTCCTGAAAGTAATTGTGCATTTAGCTTTTTTTTCCATTGACTAACACTGTATTATATTATTAACCAAAACTCTAGTGTTTATGTACAATTATAGTATTTATAGTACATTATTTATTCTGGATTACCTTTTCTTTTTATATTTTGCATATTTTATATTTTTATTGATATATATATTACACATTATATAGGCCTATTTTATGTATATATTTCATTTCATACCTCTATATTTATTTCAGTATATTTCAACTTTAGTTTTTCTCTAATTTACAAGTATTTAATATGAAAAGCTCATTGAGAGGCCTACTACTTTTAAAGTATGTTTTTATTCATTGCATGACATTTATAAATGATAATGTAAGCCTAGAAGTCATTTATGCTCCTTTTTCTCTCATGCAACATCTCATATACCTTTCTGTATGTTTGTGACCTCAATGGAAAAATTCATGCCATCAAACTAAAAAATCATGGATGCAACAACTGTCCTTTTGGAAAAAGACATATAATACCAAGTGCAGTTCAATTAGACAAAATCGGTCATAATTCTAAAAATAAATAAATAATGTGTTTAATGATGCAATTATATCATTATTACCTGTATCTTTTTAATCTGACGGGATTATGACCAGGAAATGGAACAAAAAGGAACCAGACGAGAAGCTTGCTAACAACAACATTGGAATTTGTGGCATGTTTTAGAGAAAGCTGCTTATCGGATGTAACGGATCTAACGGATGTAAAATAAAGAGCTCAGGTCTGCATGAAGCTCAAGAGAAAACTCTCACTGTATACTTTTATGTTCCCAAATGTGAAACGCGAAGACTGGATTCAAGCATGCTGATCATCAGTCCAGGTGTCGGAATGAGGTTGTGCAACCACTCAGTGACAGTTCAAGGAGTTGTTAAGCAATCTTTAAGTGTGACGTGACATGTGGCCAAGTATGGTTACCCATACTAGGAATTAGTGCTCTGCGTTTAACCCATCCTAAGTGCACACACACAGCAGTGAAAACACACCCGGAGCAGTGGGCAGCCATTTATGCTGCGGTGCCCGGGGAGCAGTTGGGGTTTCGGTGCCTTGCTCGAGGGCAACTCAGTCGTGGTATTGAAGGTGGAAGAGAGCGCTGTACATTCACTCCCCCCACCTACAATTCCTGCCGGACTGGAGACGTGAACTCGCAACCTTTGGGTTACGAGTCCGACTCTCTAACCATTAGGCCACGACTTCCCCCAATGCTGGTAAACTTTAGGAAGGAGTCACTAAAGATAAAAATAGATTACTGTTTTGGTCTGAGATCGTATTATTTTGTGCCACAATAGTGCAACAGTAGGCCTCTAGAAGTAGCAGTTCCATCAAACATTACACTCTAAAAAATGCTGGGTTGTTTCAACCCAACGTTGGGTCAAATATGGACTAACCCAACTTTTGGGTTAAAAATTTAATGTAAAAATTTAACCCAACGGTTGGGTTAGTCCATATTTGACCCAAAGTTGGGTTGAAACAACCCAGCATTTTTTAGAGTGTACGAATAACATTATTGAGTCAGTCTCAAACATCTCAAAGCTTGTTAGTTTGGTTCATGGTTCAGAAATGATTATTTCTACATTTTTTTTGGTGGGAATGGGAAATATAATTTTGGAACCAAGGCAACTGAAAAAGTAGACCTCACTGTTTTGCTTTACTACAGACCAGCAAACAACTCTGGCATACAATCCTATGCAATATCGTATCAATCTCTTGATTATCCAGAAAAATAAATGCCATTTTGGTAAGTATTGGAACAATTTTATTTTCTGTGTGGGAATTCTTTTTAGACTGCATGCCTACTCTTTCTGGAAACTTCTAAACTTGAATGAGGCCTAAACCAAAAGAAAATATTTTTGTGCATTTATTTTTGCCTCCTACTGTCACAGAGAGGTAATTACACGATTTCACTCTTGACTTCAAAAGAAGGCTGTAGAAGAGCACATGTATGTATGTGATGCTGCCATCTTGTGGAGAATGTGTATACTGTAGTGAGAAATGGGACTAACATACTGTACTGTATGTAGATTAAACCCACTAACTTAAAAAATAATGCATTGCATTAATAGTGCTTACATTTTATTAATGCCTTGTATTTCCAGGGCTTGCATTTTTAGGTCCTGAAATGTAACATAGTTGTTTATTTAAGCTGTGAATATTTCAATTCAAAATATTTCACACACATTTTCATAATTAAAAATTCAATAATTCATATTCACCCTCCAGAAATCACTTCCAAAATGTTTAAATCTGTTTTAAAATACGATGTATAATATTCGACAGGCAAATCTTCGCTGTTTCCCGTAGCCTACATGTAAGCAGCTTTCTCCACAAAGGAGATTATAATGCTATTTTACCCAACGCTGAAGTACAGAACTAACATTACATCTGAGGAAGACAGTTATTGCTTTCGGTTGCTTAGTTTCCGTAACTTTGTATCATGGCTTGTGTGAAGCTGTGCTGTAATGCTGGGGTTCCCCTCATACGTCACACTCCAGGATTCCCCAACGACGTAAGGCCCCTCAGTGAACTAATACAGTGATATATATAAATATATCTCTTACAAAAAAATTACAGTGGCAGTATATAGTGATTGTACCAGATGGTAATATCACGGTACTTCAAATAATACTGTGGTAACCTTTAGGGGCCCAAACTAAGCAAAATATAAAATGTGCAAATTTTATATTGTCAAAAAGTAAGATGAAAATCTGATAATTACATAAAATGTGTATAAATATCAGTTGTCACTCTATATTTCCCAGTAAGGTGATAATATGATATTTAAATGCTTACTTTTATGATCAAAGTGCTGTAGTTTTTATTGTTGGGGCAATTCATATAATTCAATGCAATACAATGCTGAAAAAGTGCTCAACGAATAAACCGTCCTCAAAGCCTGATGTATCTTTTATATTCCCATATTAGTATGAAAAAAATATATGTATGGATAGTAAACCATCAGCTGCTTCAGTCCAGTAAGTGTTCGTCTTAAAATATTACTAACAATATAAGAGTTTTTACATTTACTTTATATAAAAAAACTTTAAAAATTACACAGCAAAAGACACACACACACACACACACACACAGAGAGTGAGAGAGAGAGAGAGAGAGAGAGAGAGAGTAGTAATATAGTATCAACCGAGATTTCTAATATACTTGAAATTGCATTTCAAAAAATGAAAAAATAAATAAATAAAGTTAAATTCTTTAATTTGAAACAAATGAAGTCATTTGTAGTCTCACTGAATACTTTATTTCCCATTTGCACTAGAGGGCACTATAAGGTGATGTTCTCCTTGGACTCCATCCAAGAAAACACTTCAGCTGTTTACTTTGAACTTTTTGATCATTTAACGCTCATCAGGTTCCATGATTTTCTCTGTAGGTCACACAGTATAGACCAGTGATGGGCAAACTTGGCCCTTTCAGGCCACTTTCCTGCAGAGATTTGATCCAACCCTGATAAGACTCACCTGCCGGTAGCCTTCTAGTAGTCTTGAAGACAATGATTAGCTGGTTCAGGTGTGTTTGATTAGGGTTGGAGCTAAACTCTGAAGGAAAGTGACCTGGAAGGGCCAAGTTTGCCCACCCCTGATATAGACAAACAGTTTAGGAACCGCATTTGCAGTTTCATTAAGTTGCAGGCATTACAGGACTGTTTATATTTGTTATACGAAGGCAAAATGCTTGTTTTGCCCTTGAATCGTTCACAATAAAAACCACAATGACCTGAATGACTCCTTATCAGGCGAGGCACCGCGACCGGTCTGTGACATCCGTGCGGAGAGGCATCATTCCGGGCTGACTGTGGGCGGCAGTGGGGTGTTTATCAGTACTGGGTTAGACGCACACAGACATTGCGTATACGCACAACAAAGGGTGGAAGCACAACAGAGAGTGTTTATGAGTCATTCTGCAGTTTCAAAATGTGTTAATATGATGTAGATGCAAATGAATAGAGGTGTAGACACATCGACCCACATGCTGCCCTCACTGTCATCCGTCTGTATGTCATCAAAGGCAGATAAGCCTACTTGAAAAAAGATAAGGAACATCACCACAACTAAAAAAAAAAGTAAAATAATAGTTTAGTACATTTAGTTTACTTATTTGTACTCCGTTATTTTACTAAGCATATTATATATTCAACTTTTTTTTTCTAAATATGTTAAAGTGCACACTTAATTTGTCTTTACTAACGACAAAAGCACATACCAAAATTACTAAAACTTAAACTAAAATTAAAATGAAAACTGAAAACTAATTCAACATATTAATACACACTAGTATTACAAATAATACTAAAATAACAATGATGTGAACTAATTCAGGACTTAAAAAAAAAAGCATCCCAGAAGTTGGGAAGGAAATGTAAAAGAAGATGAAATGTAAGATGGTTTTAATGTAGCCTATTTAACCTTTTTTTTTTTTTTTTGATCATTACATAATTATTATATAATTACTTCCATTTTGTCATTTGTGGCATATTTTGATGACTTTGTTGTTATTCTTAATATTTAACATCAAATCCTAACAGTAAATGTTAAGAATAGTCATAATAAACGATTGGCTTGTAGTGTAGGCTAACTATCTTAAACGCCTTTTTTGTTTTTCTTTAAATACTAGATAGCCTAATCATAATCACGAAGGCCAGGAATTTCTTGCTATGCATATCACAACTTCTTACTAACACAAAGATCAAAACACAAGTATTCAGACCACTACAGCTGTAGTCAGAAACTTGCACTAGCTACCGTAATTTACTAAGTAATCTTACAAAAAAAACTTTGTTCATTGACATTCTTTCAATGAGTCACGGGTTTCGAAATGAATAGTTCTTAATAATATTAAATTAATTAAAATGGGAAAAGCGATTTTCAACTTTATATTGTTACAATGTCGGCACTGTAAGTAAGTGAACTGTGTTTTATTTTTCCGTTTTACCGGCACCAGGATTTTCCCGTCATCTTAAATCCACCGGATGAGGCGTTTTACGTTTTTAACCGCCAGGGCTTTTGTGAAAACTACAAATCCTACTTCCGCATTTTTGTGTTCCCGCTCACAGATAGCCTGATCGAGCCCAATGCATTGTGGGTGCTGAAGTTTTCTAGCCTTTTTAAAATCTGTTTCTAGTCGTATAGATTAAAATCCTTAAACCACATAAACACATTTCATTACGCCAAATACACAAAATACTGTTCTTTTTAGCAGCATCATATGACCCCTTTAATAAATACGTCTGATTTTAAGGATATTGTATGTTTACTTTTATATGTTAATCCACTCGTCCAGTATAAAATCTGGGCCCTGAAACAAAGCATGAGAAATGAAAAGTACTTCACAATCAGATGTCAAAAAAATAGAGTTTAATGTTCATGTGCTGTATAACAAATTAAATATATTAGTGTTTACAAAACAATATGTGCAGGACTACCGTATGCATATCCTAATGTACTCTCTACTCAAAAGTGACGAGAACAAGTTCTACTGACAACATAGTTTCATCCTACAGTCCAAGATGCATAAGTCTATTATACAAAGCAAGTACAAAGATTAGAGAAAGACTGATCATTACTGTGAGTGGTTAAAGACAGTAACAAGCAAGGAACAAAGGTAGGCGTCTAGATATGTCTTGCTATATAGGTCATTGGTAACGATGTAATCAGTAAGGTCCAATCAGATTTTTTCTTCATCAAACTGTTTTTTTCCAAAGCAAATTTTGTTCCAGTGCTTTTAGAGAGCTTGATATTGCCAAGGCTTTAAGTCTCAGCTGTTCATACAACTTCCCAAATCTCATTTCATATTCCACCTAAAACGAACATCCAAAATAAACTACTACCAGTGAAGAATTGTAACATGGAATGCTTTAAACTAAGGCAAAAAGTTGAAAATGCAGATAAATATTGACACAACACTTGTCTTTTATCATACGGGACGACTCGTAACCCACCGACTTATCGCACGCTCTCAAAAATATGTTTAAAATGGCACTTAAATTAAGATTTTGCATACTTGAGATCTCTTAAGTCTCTGAAAATAATCCTAAAAAAATAAAAGCACACAATATTTCCACATATTCCCTCGAAATACTGAAGTGTATGATCAGGATGTTAAAAATCGGTCTCCTTGTACCGATATAGAGAGGTATTTGTCATTGACACAAATACAGATTATATAACAGCTTGACAGGTACATTACAGACATGTAACTGGAAAACCTGATTATCTCGTGCCTACTTCACCTCACATGATACTCTAAAACTACACAAAGAGTGTGACTTGATGATTTCAGGGTAAAAGTCCTACAAAACATGTATCACCATTGAGAAACAAGAAATTTTGAGCAGTAGGATGCAAATTCGAGAATCAAACACTAGTGCATATCAGTTTCACATACATTTGCACATTAGCTGAATCTAAGACTATGTCTACACTACGAAACAGAGTAGAAATACTGTACAGTGAATGTCCTCTGAGGTGTCTGGGACACCTAGACACGTTCACTGAGTTAAGTGACAACAGCTACCCGGTATTGCTCTACGACTAAATATTCAGAAATACAAATACATTACGTGATTGTGATAAAGACTGGAATGGTGCAGTAATGACGCCCTGTTTTTAAGTCCAGTCAGATGCGAATGTTTTTAAACTATTTACATAACCACTGGTCAGGAGGGGAGACATGCTTGTCTATATACGCATTTTGTTGGTATGTATAGAGTACGATGAAATATATTAATTGTGCTTAGTATCGGAATAAATCAGGCATTACTATTCGTTCAAGATGACAAGGAGGCCAAAAGTCTGGCTCCGAGATTTCAGTGTTTAAATAGCAACATGTACCGCAGTTTTCCTCTGTTACGCAAGTAAATTCAACCATAGCACCATAGTAGAGATCTTTAAATTCAGATTCGTTAGCACTGCTATTAGAAACCGACAGAGGAAAAGACGACTTCTTTAAAGACCCCATGAGATCAAAATTAGAGTTTTTAGTCCCTATGCGTCATCTGTATGCTAGTGTACTAGTGACAAAAATTCACTTTTACGCATTTAAAAACCACACATTTCTTTCTCTTCTGGGATAAACGATCAAAAATATTGATTACGGCTGCACGATACTGGAAAAAAACTGACATTGCGATATTTTATTTTTCTGTGACTGGAGAGTGCATCTGAATAGAATATAAAAATAATTTTTAAAAGCTGAAAAAACGATCAAAAATATTGATTACGGCTGCACGATACTGGAAAAAAACCGACATTGCGATATTTTATTTTTCTGTGACTGGAGAGTGCATCTGAATAGAATATAAAAATAATTTTTAAAAGCTGAAAAATTACTTCGATTACTTACTATAAAACTATACTATAAAAATCATAGGCCACATTGCCACTGTTTTTGACTCATTTAATATGACTATAAAATCATATGATTTCTATTGTGATTATTATTAAATAAAAATCTTAAAAATGTTGCATTAATACTAATGTGCTATAAAATAAAGTATTTAATAAAAGAAAAATACTGTAAAATTACAATACTAATATTTACATCTTAATTTCTTCATTTTTGTCTAAATTAACATTTACTTGTGCAAATGAACAGTGCCAAGCTTCATTCTAAAACATGCAGGGCATATATTTAATTAAATCACAGCCTTGATAATTTGACTACTGCATTTAGCCATGACGCAATATCAATAATATTTTGATATATCGTGCAGCCCTAATATTTCTGTCGAAAGAAATGCTCTCTAAAATGATAATATTGCTCCTGCTAACAATACCACCAGCTATCAAATAGCAATAGCAAGTAGCAAATCACTGTTTATGGTGTAAATAAAGCCTACTGGCTATTTAAAAAATGGGCAAACCATTTGATGTCATTTGATAATAGGAAATAGTCAATACAGGAAATGAAAGTGATTGCATGGGGTCTTTAAAGAGAAACACAATCCAGGAGGCTTACTTAAATAGGCGACAACAACAGCTGCTTACTAACAACTTTAAAAACACTGCGTCCCTCCGTTTCTGTGATATTTAACATGCATTCATATATACATACAACACATATTGTATTTAAATAACATTTAACCATTTTCAAACAGACATTTTCTATGTATGTACAAATAGCGGACTTCGTGGTCCACACCGAAAGGAGAGCATAAAAACAAGTGATGAGAGCTAGTGAGAATTGAACAAGTACAGTCAGTGACAGCACAAACAGTGTGAATCTACTCAGGAGAATGGAAATAAGGGCTCTAGGTGCTTTGGCAAAAACGAAAATGGCGAGAAACTAAAATAAACTATTTTTTGAGGCAACATTGGTAAGCAAACTCTCAATTCCTCCATGAACATTTTTGCTCTTTATTTCGTAGTTATGTTAAATTTTGTTCATTTTGTAAATATTCAAACTCTAACAGTTTAAGTGTCTTTATCAGAGCATATATCTGAATGCCCTTTTATAGAAACTCTTCGTCATATTATAACACAAGCATATTCATATTTTAAAAATAACAGAGCTCAACAGGTATTGCAGGAATAACCCATGTATGAAAAACACATTTATCTAATTCAGCCATGGAGTGCTAATGTTTTTATGGTCCTAGGCTGTAAGAGTGTCTACTCAGGAGAATGGAAATAAGGGCTCTAGGTGCTTTGGCAAAAACGAAAATGGCGAGAAACTAAAATAAACTATTTTTTGAGGCAACATTGGTTGTTAAGGCTTTACTGTAGTTGTGCTTATTTAGTATTCACTGACAGATGACATGTATTGTTGTAGGTTTGAAATAAAAGCATTCGGGGCTGCTATCTGGAATCCTCTGGCTCTGACTTGATGGTCTTCTTCTCAGAGAGGTTGAGGGCATGTGAAGATGTGTCTCCTCCGTTTTCTGGAAGAAAAAAAAAGATTAAGAGAAATGCTCTGGATTACTGAAACCCTTTATGACATTTATGATAAATTACTTTCAAGGTTCTTCATGTGCAAGTTGTTCTGGTTAAAAGTGTCTGCTAAATGAATAAATGTAAGGTTGGCAGTTACAAATATTATATGGATTATTCCTGTTATGCCCGCTCATTTATGTCTAAATATAATGGTTAAAAATACCTCACAATGTTAAAGATCAAATCATGTTAATTAGCTTTTACCAACTAAGTGAAGCTAGAACATATGGTGAAATTAAATAATTTCATTAATTTAGGAATTTAATGATCAGATGTTGCCATTTTTGCCATGTCCCCTTAAGCTTCTATAATGGAAAAACTGACAATTTATTAAAAATGTAATTAAATAATACATTAATAATAATAACAATAATAATATTTTCTATTAATATTATTATTAATAATAATAATAATCTTCATCATCAACCATAATAATTATTTATTATTTTATAATAATACTATTGGCTCCGTTCCAAAACCTAGTGTGCTGCTTTGCGGTCTGCTAGTTAGGTGGCATCTTAACTGAAATGAAATTCATAAGTTACAGATTTGAAATGCTCTACAAAGGCAGTGTTTTCAACAGTTTGCCATTATCATGTTTCTAAAAGATCATAAACATATACAGTACAGTGGAGATCAAAATTAGAGAACAATCAATAAATACTTAATAATAATAATTTTTTCTGAAATATTGTTAATCTTCATCTCTCAAAATGTGAAGGAATATTAGCTGTTATACTAAAATGTTTGACAAAATAACCAAGGCATTTCAACAAAAACCTTTATTTTGTGGAAAACACTGATCAAAATTAGAGAACGGTAACCACTGTAGCATGAAAGAAGATTGCAACTATAATTTTGGAGGGTTACAGCTGTTAGAAACAAGTAGGGAGTGTAGAGGCTCCTGCTTTGATTGACTTCAGCACATCTGCGGCCGCAGGACATCACTAGTTTCTCACACTGCGCTGGTGTGATCCTGGTCCACTCTTTTTCCACTCTCTTCCATAGTTTGGTGACTGTAGTGGGTTTCTTAGCCATAACTTTGAAGCCAAGGATTTTCCAGAGATATTCAATCGGGTTTAGATTAGGACTATTTGGCCATTTCATTATTTCAATGTTCTTAGCTTCAAGGAACTACTTTACCCATTTTGCAGTGTGACAGGGGCATTGTCTTGCATGAAAATTGCAGGCTGATTGGGAGACGCTTGCAGGAAAGGAACCGCATGTTGCTGAAGGAGGTTCTGATAAACATTTGCATTCACCCTGCCATGTACTGTAGCTGTATAAGAGGCCCAACTCCTGCTGCAGAAAACATCCCCCAAACCATGACACTTCCTCCTCCACCTTTCACTGACTTCTTTATGCACTCGGGCTTCAGTCTTTCCCCAGTTTGATGCCGAACAAAATGTTTCACATCAGACCCAAATAAATTAAAGTTGCTCTCATCACTGAAGTGAACTTTGGACCAGTTCTCCTCTCTCCACACAACATGATCCTCAGCAAAGGTGAGCCTAGCCGCTTGATTCTTTCTTACTGATGAGAGGCTTGGTCACTGCAGTGTGCGCTTTCAGTCAGACTTCTCTTAAACGTGCCGAGAAAGATCCATACCCTGTTCAGCACTGAACTGGCGAGCAATTCCAGCTGCAGTGTTGAACCGATTCCCCATTGAGAGTCTCTGCATTATCCTGTCCTCTCGGGCATATTTCTTGCGTGGACGACCAGCCTTTTTGGGGGACTTGAATGAATTAGTGTCTTTATAAGCTGCAATATTCGAGAAACCACAGATTTGGAACGACTAACTTCTCGTTTGGCCTTCATCGGGACCGCCTCCTGTCGCAGGGTTTCAGTCACCTTAGAGCGGCCCGCCATCTTGCAATCTCAGTGAAAATTGGACGAATTCTGCCAGTTAATAGGGTTTGTCATATAATTAAGGAAATTTGCACCAGGTGCCAGATTAACACCAGTAACTTGGAGGTATCTGTAAGTGTTCTCTAATTTTGATCAGAGTTCTTTTTCAAATATCTCATTTAAGTTTTTTAAATTGTGCTTCAGAATACAATTAATTTATGAAATATGCTTAAAAACTGCCCTTCTGTTAGGATAACTTCAAATAGGACTAAGCAGTGACCGTGAAATTTAGGAAATTGTAGGTTGTTCTCTAATTTTGATCTCCATTTTATATAGTACACATAGTAAATTTTTATTATTAAATAACTGGCTAGTTTTGAATAATTATATACATTTCTAAACCAGTCCATTCTGAACTATTTAAAAAAAAATTATACTTTTTCAGTTTTGAATGAATAATAAATATATTAATAATTGACATTTCTAAAATGGTCATTTTTTATTATTTTGAACTACTTCAAATTATATTTTTCAGTTTTGAATGAATAATAAATATATTAATAATTGACATTTCTAAAATGGTCATTTTTTATTATTTTGAACTACTTCAAATTATATTTTTCAGTTTTGAATGAATAATAAATATATTAATAATTGACATTTCTAAAACGGTCATTTTTTATTATTTTGAACTACTTCAAATGATATTTTTCAGTTTTGAATGAATAATAAGCATTCATAAAGGATATTTCTAAAACGGTTTCGAAAAATGTAATTTCAGAATTCAAAGTATACTGATAATGGACATTTTTCTTGTTTCATTCACTATCTAGGAAGGATATTTTTCACTGAGCTCATTGTAATGCATTATGGGATGCTTCCTTTGTCATGGATACTTATGATGCGGACTTAACATTTCTTAAATGTCTTAGCCTTAGGTTGCTTACGATGTCTTAAGTGTTGCCTTTCAACACACACCTGTGGCTGCTGACGTCTTGCTCTCAGCATTAGCGTGATGATGCCTCTTCAACTCATTGGCCAGCTGCTTTCCGAGAGGCGTGTCTCCATCTGATGCACTCGTCCTCTGGCTGGTCACCCTCAGATTCAGTGGCCTCTCTCCTGTAGACATGCAATGAAACAAAGCCTTCAATTTAACTCATGTTCTCTTTTCACCTCGCTACTGTATTCAAGATCGGTGTTTAACAAACCGCAAGGCTGCATGATTAGGTCCATTACCGAGTCCAAGCTAATGCTACGAGACAAACATTCCGCCTACCAGAAACACTCAGCACAATACTCACTCACACACACGCAACTGAGCTTCATTTGATACGAATGCACCTTTTCTTCAACTATAGACAGCCAACGCACACTCCGTAATAGCCCGAGGACAGTGAATGCGGTTTGAAGCACGTTGATCGTGAGTTGCATTGAGCATATACACCTCCTTCAAACAGCACATTAACCTCCTCTGTCCCTGGCTGGCTGATCTCATTTGTGTCTATTGACAGCATCAGTGCAGCATCATGACTAATGTCTGTCATTTTTAACTTAACACAATGCCCTTTAATTACCAGCAGCTTTAATCTGAATGTTGAGGGGACATGTCTTTGCCACCCACTACGCACAATACCTCTTTTTAAACCATATAAGGTAACGACCACTGGATTTCAAGGTTGGGCAAAATTCAGAGTGAATTTGAATTGGTCAAGTCCTACAGGAAGTTGCACTGGAATGTACAGGACGAAGAATTCCTTGAACTACAAATTAAAGAAATGTATTACAGGTAATAAATTCTGGTCAAAGAAGTCTGTCTTTCATCTAGCATTTGTATCTTTAATAAAAATCAAATTATATTTAATTCTTACAGTGAAGACTATGCAGCGTTTTATTTTTACATTTGATTATTACATTTGTGTAGTATTTCATACTATATGTTAAATAAACCTATTGTACCTGAAAAACATGAATTTATATTGTTTAACTGCAAGTTTATTAAATTTGTATCTCTGTTCTATGGTATTTGTCCTATTGTTTGTAAATTTGTGTAATTGGTCATATCCATCTCTTTGTCCTTCCAAAATATCTATCTGTCTGTCTGTCTAGTTAAAATTACTATTATTATTAAAATTTCAATAAATTTTAATTCCACTTCTTTACACTCTAATTATAATTCCTTACATTTATACATTTATTTAGGCACATATTCTAGTTTAATTTTTTTAAGAAAATAAACTAATATTTTTATTCAGCAAGGATGCATCAGATTGATCAAAAGTGACAGTAAAGATATTTATGTTACAAAAGATTAGTTAAAATAAATGCTGTTCTCTCAAACTTTACATTCATCAAAGAGTCCTAAAAAAATGTATCGCTTTTCTCAAAAATAAAGCAGTTTCAACATTGATAATAATAACAAATGTTACTTGAACACCAAATCAGCATATTAGAATGATTTCTGAAGAATCACACATTAAAATAGAAAACAATTATTTTAAATTGTAATATTTCATGTTTTTACTGTATTTTTGATCAAATAAGTACAGCCTTGGTGAGCATAAAAGAGTTCTTTCAAAAACATTTTAAAAACCTTACGAACCCCAACTTTTGAACAACAGTGTGTCTATTTACACTTATTTCAAATTCTAGAATGAAACTGCTACTGTGGTTGAAATGGTATTGCAGTCAATATACTTGTAACCCCAACAGCACTGATTCATTTCATTAAAGCCCTACCTGCAAAGGTACAGTCAAAGCTAAAGAAGGACATATTTAGTTCTCATCAAATTCTCACTTTCTGCCTCTGCTTCTCTCTCTTTCTCTCTCCGCAGATCCCATACGCCCACTCTGGAGTTCTGAGAACACATGGGATATTAGGAAGCTGAGAGGGATCATGTACTCAGAGAGTTCATGAAGGAGTTATTCTCAGAGCTGGGGAGGGAGAGAGCGCTGTTGTGTTCAGCGCAGTGTGAAACAACCACAAATAATTATCATAAATAATAAACAGTGTGTCACATTAAAGCAGATGAGAAATGAAGGCTAATTATGTGGTTTTTCCAAGGAGGTCTAAAGAAATAGCTAAAGAAAGCTATGCACTAGCAATTTATCTCAATGGTAGCTGCTTGGCAGGTGCATAGAATAAGGAAATATGCGACCTGTGTGTTATACCAAAAAACACTTATAGCTCATTTATTGGCTGATATTTGGTCATTTTGAGCATCAGATGTTTACCAATTCACAGAAGTGATCTGCCACATATAACCGTTTTTAATATGGATAATGCATAATTTTAATAGAAATTTTTCTTTTTTTTAAATATTAAATATTAATATATAAAATATAAATATATTGCCATTAAATACCCCATGGTGGTCAGGCACTACTTTGCAATGCAAAAGCCCTTGTAAACGTGTAAACAATTGAGCTTGTGCTGTGATGCATATAATCAGTGCTCAGATTCGGTATATGCGCAGTAATTATCGTCATGTACCAACATGAGGGTCAAAATGAACTCCAGACGGGTGGCATTCTAAGGCACAAGATTTGTAGCAGAACGCAGAGCTGTGTTCATATTTCCACCCGACATCCCCCTCCCCTCTCTGACACCCACCACCCCGCCTCCGCCTGCAGCTGCCAGATGAGTCTGGAACAGGTGATGCAAGCTGCTGAATTATCTGAGAAACAACAACTGAAACACTTCACCGGTTTTGGGTACCGTCTAATGTGTACAAAAACAATCTGGATGGTCAATCAAGAGTAAAAGACAGCTTGTCTGCTTTTCTGATAGTAATAATAATAATAGTTGTTTTGTTCACTTTTTTTGTCTGGGATCGTGAAAATGAATGTGCAATGTGGTTCTCAAGTGGTTTTGCTTTAGGATTTAGACACTCATATATTAAACATAATATATTTATTATATTAACATAGAAAATATATAAAAATATTTTTATGATATTGCAAAGACAATAAAATTAAGTATTTTTTCCAAAAGTAAGATATAATAATAGTAAAACTTTTAAAATTATATTAGATAAATATTATAATAAATATTATCATTTGATGTTTGATAATATTAAAATTTATTAAGTTTAAATCTGAGATTAACACTTTTTATTCTTTATAATATATGCATACTTTCTTAGTATTAAAATCTAGTGCTCTAGTGCAAAACAATCAAAATCATCTACTTATGCCAAAATATCTGAATGAAATTAACGTCAATGAAAAGAAAAAAAAAGTTAAACATATTACCTTAATCTTAAATCCACTCATGTTTTCATTTTTTGAATGTTTGTGTACTCCCTAGTTGGACTTTCATAGTCTTTAGAAAGACAATAAAATTAAGTATTTTTTCCAAAAGTAAATAATTTGCTTTTATATTCTAATTGTACAAAAGAGTTTGCTAATACAATATTAAAATATATAAACAAAATATGATTATTATATAAAGATTAATAATTATATAATACGTCCGGCCAAACTGAGCTATCGGGGGAGAAGAGCCTTGGTGAGAGAGGTAAAGAAGAACCCAAAGATCACTGTGGTCAAGTTCTATCTTAGACCAGAGAATCTTATTTCTCACCATCTTGGAGTCCTTCAGGTGTTTTTTAGCAAACTCCATGCGGGCTTTCATGTGTCTTGCACTGAGGAGAGGCTTCCGTCGGGCCACTCTGCCATAAAGCCCCGACTGGTGGAGGGCTGCAGTGATGGTTGACTTTCTACAACTTTTATATATATATATATATTGTCCTTGCAATTACTGCACAGCAAATTGGATTAAAGGCATCAATCACATGACAAATAACCCATCATCTCAAACGTTATAATGCACAAACTCACCCTGCTGGTCAGCGTTTTTGTCAACGGAGAGCCCGTTGCTTTTCTGTCTGTCTGTGCTGTGTTTGTAGGGCCCTGGTGGAACCCTCCACTCTAGAGCCTGCAATCTGTCCTGAGCCGCGGCGTCATGCAGTATCTCCATCTGCTTGGCCAACAGACGCTCCAGCTGAACCTATAATATGCACAAACAGCAGGGAGTCAGACAGGCAGATATGTATAGCATCGTATGTACAGTGTGACAGAAATGATTTCCAATATTCACCATTCACAACATACCGCAAGTGTAGTGCTACAAAACAAAACTAACCATAAACAAACTCATACAGTTCAAATATCTGGTGATTTGAATGCTCCTCAATCACATTTGAATTTGAAACCGGGTTTATTACTATAAATATTTTGATACTATTATATTAATGCTTTTGCTGTACATTTTTCTGATTATATTTAAAACCACACTACGTGTGGAGCTTGATTGATTCCAATAGCACCCCTCCTACATGTGCAATGTTATCCTACCTAAAAAGTAGGATTTTTCTACCACTTTTTTTTAACACAGGAAGATGCTATTCACAGTTACAAAATGACACGTTTCCACTTCAAAACACAAAAGCGGCATAATTAACTGATGTTTCTGAGACAATGCATTCTGTCAATCCATCTATTGAAAAACAAACAGAACAATTAAAGAGAAAAGACAGCCCAGAATATGTTTTAAATGCTCAGAGGATACTCTAACAGCTTAGGAGACATAATGGAGAGAAGTATCAACTTTGCCTTAGATACGAAGGACATAAAAAGACACAAATGAAAACGATAACTTCTAGCTATGCAAGCATCACTGCATGCCAAAGTGTGTAAAAAATCAATTCATAATGCAATACAAGTATGCAGTGCATTGTCAGTGTTGTATATTTGTCATATATCATTTTATATTATAGTTTTGGGTTTATTTATTTTATTACAACAGAATTACCAGAGGTTACATATCTGCTTGGATAGAAGGGCCTAGAATACTGCCTTGGACAAAGAGGGGACCTGGACTCACAACAACAACTTTTTGTTAATTTACTTAACTTTTTGATATTTAAGATATCTTCTTTGTCATTTTCCTATAGAACAACAATCAGCAAAAAGCACTGCGAATAACAGCGCTTCCTAATGGAAGTATTTTTCATCAGTTTCATCACTTCATCAGGACATCTCTTACACTTCTTAAAAAATATTCAACCATTGATTGTTCATATACTAAACCAGCTGACCAAAAGTAGGTCATGGTCAAGAGGACAGGCAAAGCTCTTGCAGCTATTAACCCAAAAACCTGCATGATATGATACCGGAGCGAGACGTGTGGTGGTAGACAGACATAAAGACGGAGTCAGCGAGGCGCCTGAGAGCATTCCTCTCCCACACACAAATAAACACACTGTCATAATGCAGTCAGTCACCTGGATGTTCCGCCCAACCGTCTCCTCTCCTTTAGATCTGGCGTGGGCTAGCTGCTCCTTAAGGGTCTCCTGGCGCATGTGAATGGCCTGCAGCGCCTCCTGGAGGTCAAAATAGCCCTCCTGCAGATCGATACACATTTCATTGATATTTCCTTTCAGTGGCAGTCAAATTCAAAATGAAGCATGCCATTTCTGCAAAAATATTGAGTTTTAAACTGGTTTTCCTTTATCCGCGTCTTGTTTCAACAGGACGAACAAACAGCCCAAATATATACCACTGAATGTTGCTTTATTCTGCTCAAATAAACAGAATAATCTTATTGTAGACTTTTTTGAAGAATCAACCTACTGACTCAGTTTTGTCAGCATGTTAAGCTAGGAAGCGAGTATTTTAGCACCAAAAAAAAAGCAATCACTCCACAAACACTAAGTGCGTAAGCCACAATTATTCAAACGGGTGACAATTTGCAAAAACGTCCCGCACAGTATGAAGGTGAAAAAGACAGCCAGGCAAGGAAAGTCTTCAGGCCTTCAAGATGATCATGTTGTGACAGAAACGTTTGCAGTTCCCCTAATAAAGTGATCTCACACTTCCTTTTCCCAGTTGTCTTTCTTTATGCAGCTTTATTGTGTGCGGGCCTTTTTTTTTTTTTTTGCAAATTAACACCAAAAAAACCACACATCACATCACCAGAAAACATATATCATAGATGAATCTGTGACCACTTCCAGTAAGTCCACAAACTATATGACAGAAATGGACAGAAACCTATAGCAATATGAATCAAATATTTACTGGAGGACCATGAGGTTAGTGTGACATTTAAAGATTACCCGAACAATTCCAGGACCAGTTGTTAATCTCAACCACTTCACAGAGCGAAGCCACTAATTTTTAACTAACTAAAGCTTCATTCCTCTTGAGCAAAAAGGTCAGATACTTCATAAAATGTCATCTCACTTAAAAATCCCCTCAGGATGAGTTTCAACCTGATAGGCGGATGAACAAACAGAACATTTTGTCCGACTAATCACTACGTCTAAATTACTACACGAAGGATGAGCTTGAAAACTTCAAATGTTCACATGGGTTGCCATGGGTGCAAACTACCACAGACATTCCAGTCTTTTCACTACTAGTTGGGTGTTGGAGGCAGAGAGGTAACTGCTAATAACAGCTCTGACGCAAATTTGCCAACACTCACGCGGCAACAACGAAGTCATCGAGCCACTCCTTTGAGTTATGCATTTTCTCTTTCTTGACACGGAGGCTGGTCTTCTAGAGTGCATAGACAAAGGTGCGTGCATACGCCTGCATGTATACGCATGTGTCTTCAGACTCGGCCCCTTTTCACTTTATGGTATCTGTGCAAATGCATGGGCGTGGGTGATTCCGAGTGTGCCCATGTAATGATGTCACTTCTACCTCAAGAATACGGGTGGGCGCGCAACTGATCTCATTTGGACCTTGTCTGGGTGCATGTGGGCGGGCGGCTTATTCTCACTGGTGTGAATGGGAGTGTAATGTGGGCAGAGTCGAGGCCAGACAGGGACAGCGAGAGGGGGAGGGGAAGTTTATGCTTTTTTTGCAGTTCAGACACATGCTATTAACTGTCACACACTTTGAAATGGTTAAACATGGAAAATCCATTCTAGAGTGAGTTGCGTACAAATTAACTGCATCAACAATGCAAAAACAATGTAATAAGCATGAAACAGATTTACAGCAAGACACTAACTTAACTAGAATTTTCAGTAGCATTGACAACAGTTCAACAGTTTTTTTAAATAGTGTAGCTTTTTTTTTTACAAAAAAGTGGTGGAGTAGCTTGACCAATTCGTAAATTGCTAAAAGAATGTGACAAAATAGACCCTCTCTCTTTTAAATGTAGCAGGAAAGTCAGAATTAGTGAATCAGATTGTTTGGTTCCAAAAATGATTCACCAATTCAAGTAGCTTGACCAAATGGTATGATGCTAAAAAAAAGTGACAAAATATACCCTCTTTTTCGTAAGCATAGCAGGAAAGTTAGATTCAGTTTAGTGAATCAGTTTGTTTGGTCAAAATAAAATAATTCACCGATTTGAGTGGCTTGACCAAACGGTACGTTGTTCAAAAATGTGACAAAATATAACCTTTCTCTCTTAACAAAGCAGAGAAAGTCCGATTCAGTTTAGTGAATCAATTTGTTCATTCAAAAAATGATTCACAGATTTAAGTAGTTTGACCAAATGGTATGCTGCTAAAAAGAAATGTGACAAAGCATACCCTCTCTTTCTTAAACGTAGCAGGAAAGTCAGATTCAGTTTAGTGAATCAGTTTGTTCGTTCAAAAGGTGATTCACTTATTTAAGAGGACTGACCAAATGGTACATTGTTTGAACATGCAACAATATATAATCTTTCTCTCTTAACAAAGCAGAGAAAGTCAGATTCAGTTTAGCAAATCAGTTTGTTTGTATAAATGTAAAAATGATTCACCAATTCAAGTAGCTTGACCAAACGATACGCTGCTAAAAAAAAGTGACATGTGATCTCTCTTAACGAAGCAGGGAAAGTAGATTCAGTTTAGTTTGTTGAAATAAAATAAAAAAAATGATTTACCAATGTCATTAGCTTGAAAAAGTGGTACATTGTTGAAAAATCTTACAAAACATACATTATCTCTGTTAAAAGTAGAAAGTTCAGTGAATCCATTTGTTCAGTTCAGTTCAGTTCTTACATTTGCGGGTGGGTTTTCAGCTCTATAACGAAAATAAAATGATTTCTGCCTTACTAAATTTCAATAATTCATTTGATAAATTATAATATGGTTAATAGGAATGTGCCATTTAGAATTATGGCAACTTTAATCAGCATGACATGAGGCATCACATTTACACCCATACAGAATGAATTTACATGGAACAAAACTCCAAATTGCAGCTAGAACCTGCTTAAATTATCTGGATTTGCTGAACAGAAAGTGCTGTTTGGTTGCCTGTCACTGCTTGTTGAACTTGCAGATGTCTTTTTTTCAAACAATGGGTGAGTAATTCACTCCATTATTGTATGTTGCTTCACATAAAAAAAGTCTATTGCAAAAGACTGTGTTGATAAATATGCTTATAGTACATTCTCAACATGATTTCTGCTGAGTTCAGTGCTCGTGCCATTCGCTAAATATGGCTGCCAAAATAAATATGCACCACTTATGTGCCGCAGATGCAGTTTCTGTTAAAGAAAGTTAACATCCTTTGTAAATGTTCTCAATATTTTCTCAAATATTGCATTTCATTGCTTGTTTTAACTACTTTCTTGTTGTATTTGCTGCAAACATAAGTTTAGTGCTGTAACCCAAATTGAGATCTTCATTGTTTTTTGTGTCAGATAAATACTGCTCTGATTACAAAAACTAGTTATTTTTAGTAGCTTGTAGCGTCATTGACTAGAGTAACTACACTAGCATTTGTTATGTTACAAAAGACTTCAATTCCAAATAAATGCTGTTTGTTTTTTTGTTTTTTTACTTTCTATGCATCAAAGAATTCAGAAAAAATGCATCATAGTTTCCACAAAAATATTAAGAATCAGAACTGTTATCAACATAATAACAATAAAGGCTCCTTGAGCACCAAATCAGCATATTTAAATGATTTCTGAAGCATCATAGACATTAACGAGTAATGGGTCTGCTTTGCCATCACAGGAATTAACACTTATTTTAAATTGTAATAATATTTCACAATATTACTGTTTTTATTATTTTGATCAAATAAATGCTGCCTTGGTGAGAAGACGCTTTCAAAAACATAAAAAAAATCTTACTGACCCCAAAACCACACTCTCTGGTGCTGCTGTTTATTCACATGACTAGTGTGGGAACATGACGTAAAAGTGAGGTAAAACATGATTATTTAGTGAGTAACAATGCAAATTAGGGGGAATTGGAAGACAATTGGTAATTTGCCACTGTCTGATAATGATGAAGGACTCATTTCTCTTTAGATGTAGGGTGGGTAGAAACCACTGATTTTCCGAAGTGGTCGCATGTCTGTGCCCATATGCGGAGTGAAACCAGGGCAGAGGTGAAGCAGGCACCAGCCCAGCCCATAAGCATTGATGTGGGATGTTAGAAGTTTCCAGTAGATCTAACAACTGGACAATGATCAAATGTGTCACTAGAGAGCCATGAATGGACAGCTGCCATAGAGCACAAAGGCCTCTTCAGCAAACCACATCAATATGTGTGCAGCTAAGTATAGGGCAGACTGATCACGGATATGTAGGTTAAGGAAAAATAATGACCGTGGGCCGGCTAAATATGGATTTAAGGTGTGATCGAGGGAGTGGGCTTGAGAACATTAGTCCTTTGTAACTTCTCCAGGCTGAACTTTGACCTTTCCCCTACACCATGACATGCAATCCTGATGGAGCTACCCCGCATGCTCCTGCAAAGCCCTCCCACACAGTTCAGTATGCTGACAGGCAGCTATGCAAACAAAAAGCCACTGGACCCACCCAGTGTCAATCCTGCCTCCTACAACAGTTTCCTCGTATATTGGTGTTTGCGCCGCAGTGCACATTAATAACAAAATGACTCGAGAAATTGCGTTGGAAGCTTCAGACAGATTATTTGGAGTTCAGGTTGGAGAAATCATGAAGCAATTTTACTCACCTCAGTTATACACACACACATTATTTATTTTTTTAATTCTTACAAAGAATATCTTAAAGCAAGGATTTTCTACCTTGACAAACCCTGAGACCCCCCCCAAATCAGCTGTTCTTTTGAACTTTCTATTTATCAAAGAATCCTGAAAAAATGTAACATGGTTTCCACAAAAATACTAAGGAGCACAACTCTTTTCAACTTTGATTATATTAAGCGCATCAAATCAGCATATTAAAATGATTTCTAAAGGATCACTAAAGACTGGAGTAAGGGCTTCTGAAAATTCAGCTTTGACACCACAGAAACGAATTACATTTTAAAATGCATTAAAACAGAAAACAGGTATTTTTAAATTGAAATAATATTTCACAGCACTACTGTTTTGCTATATTTGTATTCAAATAAATGCAGCCTTGGTGAGACTGATTAAAAAAAAAAACATAAAAATAATAATAAATAAATAAATAAAAATACTCACGACCCCAAACTTTTGAATGGTAGTGTACAGTAGTTAATTAGATTTTGTATGTCTGTCTCTATGAGAACATAGTCTGCCATCATGGAGATGTTATTACAATTAATT